AGCTCTTTCCTTCTTCCATTCAATTTCCCATTGAGGGCAATTTTTGATGTGGTGATCAGTCTTTCCACAGACAAGAGGGGTTGCTCTGATGGTAAGCAACCTCCACTTCCAACCAAGAGGTTGTGAGTTCGAGTCTCCCCAAGAGCAAGGTGGGAAGTTCTTAGACGGAAGGATGTCGAGGGTCTATTTGGAAATAGTCTCTCTACCCCAGAGTAGGGGAAAGGTCTGCGTACACACTACCCTCTCCAGACCCCACTAAGTGGGATTATACTGGGTTGTTGTTGTTGTTGTTGTTGTTGATCCGTCTTTCCACACTTGTAACACCCCTCATTGGTTTGTTTTTCAGGAACCCTTGGTTTGATGTAGGTTACACTTCTTGAAGGACCCTTTCCTCTCATTAGGTACTTCTTGAAGTTGTGATCATGGTCATTTCATCCTCCTCTAGATCAGCACCTTCAGTGATTCTGAGTGCCAAGCCCCTTTCCTTCTTGGGTGCATCCATCTTCATGGTTTGCCTTCTAAGTTCATAGGCAGTGAGATTTCCAATTAGCTCATCCAACTTAAGAGTGACAATGTTATTTGATTCCTGAATAGCAGTGATTTTGCTTTCCCAAGAGACTTGCAGAACCCTTGTCAAAATCTTCTCAACTTTGTCTTCTTCAAAAATAACCCTTCCAAGAGACTTAAGTTCATTTGTCAGTATAGTGAACCATGTATACATCTCCTGGATGGTTTCCCCTTCCTTCATGGTGAAATTCTCATATTGAGAATACAGTGGTGTTCCTCTGGACCTCTTCACTTGAGGTGTTCCTTCATGAGCCACTTGCAAAGTATCCCAAATTTCCTTAGTAGTGGTACAACTTTGAATTCTACTGTACTCGCTTAGACCAAGTCCATACACAAGCCATTTCTTGGCCTTAGCATTCTTTTCCCACTTCTTCAAGTCCTCAGCCGTGCAGTCAACTCTTATTTTTGGCACTTCTACTCCTTCAGCAGTCTTCTTCATGGTAGCTAGGGGACCATTATTGACAATGTCCCATAGCTCATAGTCTTCTCCGATGATGTGATCTCTCAACCTGTTTTTTCACCAAGAGTAGTATTGGCCATTAAAGAGTGGAGGCTTAGCGGTGGATTGCCCTTCCCAGTTTCCAGGTGGTGCGCTCGTCTTGATCTGTTCCTAAGGTGTTAGCCTCTTCAAGGATAACCTGCTCTGATACCAATTGATGTTTTATACTTCAATACCACACAAGAGGAAGGTGATTTGTGTGGTGTCCAATTTTTCGCTTAAACTGATTATGGAAGGACCTGGTTCTTCTATGTGTTCCTTATACTACTGTTGCGGAATAATAAATGCAGAAATTAAAGAACACAAGGATTTTTACGTGGAAAACACCTGGCTCAAAAGGTGAAAAAATCACGACCTACTACTCAGTAGGATTTTTTCCAATACTTCACTAATCACTGAGTCAAAACAGCATTTACAAAACTCTTTGTAAACCTAAAGATTACCTTTAATCCTGTTGTAGCAAACAACCTCTAACTGTTGCGACAACTTCAAGTTAATTCTAGCTTGAATACTCTGAGTACCTATTACAATTGCTTCTAGATAAAGTTGAAAGGTAGAAAAATAAAAATAACTACTATAATTGAACTAGAATAAAAGACAAACACTTGGAACTGGTTCTTCTATCTGGTTCACGTAGCTTCAGGTTTGCACACTTGAATTACAAATGAACTGCTTGCAATAAGCCTTGCTATTTTGCTATCAATTCACATTTAACTTCTGTGTCTTTGTGCAACACTTGTAAAGTGAAAACATCCTGCAATTTATAGAGTTAGTAGATGATGAAATAACTAGAGTTCTAATGCTACTCTTCTTTGGTGGAAGAGTTCTAGTTGATTTCATCTTCTAACTCCTTCCCTATCTTGGATAGTGTTCTCTTTGAGTAAGGAGTCTTTCTCCTTAAAAACCTTTTCGATCAGGAGATATTAAATACACCAAGTTAAGCTTATCTCATTCATGTGCATCCCACATGCTCGAATCTGCCCGTTTTTATGAACCTGAGGAATGGACCTGGTTCATGCCTGAGTTCCTTTGTCAGTCTTCAAAACTAGCCTTTATTTGGGCCAACACAACTTTATTCACCAATTTATTTAATCGAAAGAGGAATATTATGGTGATTATCTTGCGTTATTTTGTTTGGTTTAATTCAGTTATTCTCTTAAGTAATCGAAACAGCTTGTTGAATTTTTGATTAAATCAAATTAGGAGAATATTCGAGAGACGTTTTCCTGAAGACTAATCCATTAATGCATGCTTGCATATTTTCACAGTCCTTATATTAGATCACCTCGTAGAGTTAAGATATAATCGAGGGAGGAGTCTTAACTATACGTTTGAACTAATCATAGATTAAATTCTTGAGAATCATTAGAACATTGGAGTGAATTAAACTAGAGTTGGGTCCCAAATAGCTATCTTACACCTATCATGTCATACCCTTATTTCTCCCATTTATATTTCAATGTTGCTCAACTCTTGTCTTCCAGTGATCAATTGTTAATTGTTTTAGTTTCATAGTTAATTTTAGTTATTAATCATCCCAACCATCGCGTTAATTGTCCTGAATAGCGTTAAGCTAGAAATTACTTGAACATTGTTTAAATCCAAATCATGTGGAGACAATAATCATAACTATACTATCTTTGGCTAGCGGGCATTAATTTCGTGTTGTATTTCCGTTTGTTAGGGAGAAGGGTCAAATATACTCTTTTACTATGCGAAAAGATAATTTATACCCTCTGTTATACTTTTGGTCCAATACTACCCACGGCGTTATAAAATTAATGCAAAAGTAACCCTCATCCGTTAGTGCCCTCCACTGTGGCCAATACTATCCACATGGCCTGACATTTTTCTAAGATGGACGCCACTTAGTATGCCACCTCATTACCACTTCCAATCTCACTTCACTCTATTTTTATGTCAAACTATCTGAGATAAATCTTACAGATTTGATATTAAAACTTTATCAGAATCATATCCAGTCGTCAAAGATTGAAACATCAGTTCTTTATTCTTTCAATGGACCTTAGCATTCATTTATGAATAATTGAACTTAACTTAAAATCTCAAAAGAAAAAAGTGAAAGCCTTGAAACAAAAATTTAAGAAGAAAATTGTGATATAGCTATTACATATCATGGGTATCAATAGTGCTAAATAACCTTTTTGAGCTTTTGCAGAAAATTCGTTGCTTTAGCTTTTGAAGTTATAATTCTTTTTCTCTTGGTAAAGTTCGAATATTTTAGCTTTTGAAACCATAATTCTTTTTCTCTTGGTAAAGTTCGAACTTTTCAGCTTTTGTGTTCCGGGTGTTTTGTGTTTCTTTCAATTGCTGCTTGTATACCCAATGACACAACACTATAGCAACATAAACCATATAACTAAAGGATATTTTTTGAAATTATACAGAGACAATATAGACAAAAATTGCTTATTAATGTTCCTGATTGAACTGAACCAGGGGAAGCTAAAAAAGCAAACAATAAATAAATAAATAAATAAGAGAGATACATGTAACAGAAACGAATTCTGAAGCGGCACTAAGCAAGTGAACTGAATAAAATAGATCCACTTTCGACCCCGCTATCCATTTTCTACGCGGATAATATGAATATTATCCATATTTGGCTCCGTTCTAAATGATTAATTATCCGACCCATATTTTAGTAGTTAATGAATAGATACTTATATATTTTTTATTCATTTTGCAAGCACCAATTGCAGGATCTGATTCATGCACAGCAATTAAATTTATGTATTGCAACTATTTCAATATGTTATTGCTCCAAAGAAGGCATAGCCTTGTACAATGATTAGAACATGTATACATTAGTAAACAAGAGATAGTACAATAAAAAGAGATAATGAGGCATATGAAATAGCCAAAGAACAATAACTGCCTTAAAATGTTGGGTAACTGGCTTAAAATGTTGGGAACTCAATGCTGGAGCCACATTTTCCCCTAGGAAAAACAGGGCATTCGATGAGATTTGAACCCGAGCCATCGACACAAATATAAACCTGGTATAACTGGCTATTACCCGACTCGTCTACATTACATTCGATTCCAGGAGTATACCCAATTGCGCTGTTAATCGCATTTTTAATGCTGTTCAAGCTATAAAATCCGCCATCAGGGTTAATTCCAGCACCCTGAAGAATTTCCAAAAGATTAATTTGATTTTTGAGATCAAGAGCTTTCTTGAAATAGCCATGTTGGTCAAAAATAGATTCAGAACAAGTGCCATGTTTTTCCCATTCATGTGACCAAAATGCTGAGCCAGTACCACTTGGGCATGCTAGAGTTGGCCAATTTTGTTGCATTCTGCTGATTAAGTCAGAAACCTGCATAAGGAATTTAATTCGACTCAGTATTTTTTACACGAATCATAGATATATAGCATTAAGTTATTAAAATTTTAATAAATATTAAATTTTCAACACATAATTTTAAAAAGGTTAGATTGCCTCTTTTTGTCTTCTTGAGCGAGGGTCTTTCGGAAACAGCCTCTCTATCCCATCGGGATAGGGGTAAAATTTGCCTACACACTACCCTCCCCAAACCCCACTAGTAAGATTATAGTGGGTCGTTGTTGTTGTATAATTTTAAAAAGGCAATGTCTCCAATTTTAAAAGTCTAAAGATTGAACCCAAAAATAAATTTATATTTGTATCCTCAATGCTAGCAATTAGAATAAGATGCTACCACTAAGGTTCTGGTGGGACGGATAGAATCCCTCCACGCTTAATAGAGTTCTTGTGTTCGGGTCTTGGGTATGAAAAGAATTCCGATAGGGAGCATTTTCCTATTTAATGGATCTTACACAGAGCGAATCTGGATTTATCAGGGCATCAATACAGGTACTTGACACCAGGTGAGGGGGAAAAAAAAGAAGGGCAATTCGGTGCTACGCAGCCTTACCCTACATTTCTGCAAAAGGCTTCCACGCTCGAACTCGTGACCTCCTGGTCATATGGCAGCAACTTTACTAGTTATGCCAAGGTTACCTTCGGATAAGGGGGAAAAAAAAAGCTTATTTGAATATTGAGTACCTGAGATTGATCATAAGGACTGTTAGAATCACAGTTTGATGGGTAAGAGCCATCATTGTTATTAGGCCAAAGTCCATGGATTCCAAAATCTGATGCTGGTTTTCCAGTTTTGGGGTAGCAACAACTTTGTTTAGTGTCACAGTAAGACCCTGGCCACTGCATAAAAGATGAAGACATATATTACTTAAAATAAACCAAAGTAAAACAGAGAAAATTACATCTAAATATTTAATAAGTATTAATTAAATTTGATATAAACCTGTTGAACAAAGTAGAAAAAGTCAAAATCTTGAGCAGCAGTAAGGAGTGATAAACACTGTATAATAAGAAATAGTGTCAAGAACAGAGAAGTGGCCGAATTTGAAGCCATTTTCATCAATTTTTGCTTCTAAAATTGAAGCTTCTTTTGTGAACTTTAAAAGAGTATATTGGTACTGATTTTTGGCTTGTTTATTTATAGAAAAAAAATTGAAGATGTGAACAGACTAAATTTAAGTGTGAAATTGAGGCGCTAGATATTGATTGGTATTATAATCTGATTCGGTTTTTTATCCTTATTAGTGTTTCTGATTCTGATGTTGACAATGCGAAGATGGTAATTATTGGTTTTGGTATATTCTTTAAGCATATGATATGACGGTTTCCTTAATAATATTTTATGTTAATTTGGGCTGATTTTAAGGATACATTTTCGATTTTTCCTTTTGAAGAAGCTTTCTTAGTGGTCGTTTGGACATAAGAATTGTAAAATTCCCAAAAGAGTGGAAAACAATTCAAGGGAAAATGGTATTTGAAAATTAAAGTTGTGTTTGGACATGAATCTAATTTTGGGCTATTTTTGAATTTTTAAAAATTTTGAAAAGTAATTTTTTGAAGTTTTTCAACTTTTCAAAAAATTTCAAAATTCTTCTTCAAGTGAAAATTAAAAATTTTATGGCAAAACATTAATTTCAAAAAAGAGTAAAATATTTTTATGTCAAAACGGGCCGTAATCTTGGAAGACAGAAAGTTGTCATAAAGTGTGTTGTTTGTATTAAGATAATTAAGTTCATTGAGAGGCAAATAAAAGCTAGCATTCATATGAAAGATACAGGTGTATTGTTTTTCTTTTTTTAATTTATTCAAAGGGCTGATTGACGCTTTCAGACTTGCACGTCCCTCGTGAATTGATTGTATACTACTCCTATCTATTATTAATAGGCATTATGTTCTCCATCATATCTGCCTCTTAATAATTGAGTTTAATCTCACATTAATATTGTATAATTTTTCAACGATCAAGTTAAGTTGATCTACAATAATAGATAATTCTTCAGCATGGACAATATAAAATATTGATCGATATTTTATCGTTTAAATACAGATCTCATATGGATAAAGTTGTCATATAATTATTGCTCTTATATTTAGGATTTTGTAATTAATTAAATATTAGCCATGAATTCTTCTCTTATTTGAACTAGCTAAGAACTCCTAATTGTTACGTAGTAATTTAATTTTGAGTAAGATTTTATTTATAACAAGTTACTTCCTAATATTTAGTAATTTAAATTTGAGTAGATTTTTATAATAAATTCCTTGCCTAACATTTCGTTATTTAAATTTGAGTAAGATTTTATTTATAATAAATTCCTCACCTAGTAATTTTTTATTTGAGTAAGATTTTATTTAAAATAAATTTCTTGCCTAATATTTTGTAACTTCAATTTCTAGTATGATTTATTTATAATAAATATCTTGCCTAATATTTAAGACTTTAAAATTAACTTTGATTTATAGATGATTTTATAATGGAATGTAATTGAAAAATGAAAAAAGATGCACTTCATTTTTGGATCTATTTGCTTTTTGAATATTAAGCATATAAACAACTTTGACAATTTATATTGGTAATAGTTCAGAACATTTTTTATTGAATTCTTATTGCATTATTCTTTAAAATAGTTGAAAATAATATTAAAAAGGAAATTTAAAAGTAACTTTGAAAGCTCGAAAGATCTGAATTAATGTTAGGAAATAGATTTGCGGGGAACAGAAATTCGCGACTTTGATAGTATATTCATTTTTCTTTAGAAATTTACGTATCCTAGTATGTTGATATTGGGGTTATATCATAATTCCTCCAAACTTTTTACATAGCAAAAATCGAAATTCAATATTTCAGCAATAACTTGTAATTTTTCACTAAAACACGTTTGTGAATAATTTGAGAAGAAGGAAAGTAATTGCTAGAAAGAATCTGATTTGGTGTCTGTTAATACGTTTTAGAGGTATAAACAAGAATTTGTAATATCATAAGAATTTGTTAAGACACGTCCATTAAAAAATAGAGTAATAAGTTCTCGTAATAAATTGAAATGCACTGATAATTTAAAATTTCTTTTGATATATATAATTTAAATTCGTAATAATTTAAGCAATTGTATGTGAACACAAGGAAGAGTTGACATTTGACAAGCAGCATACTTGCACCTTGACCATTTAGGCCGATAGACAACTTTCTTTCACATCTCCCCATTTTATAGAGTCCAAAATATTGCACTATTCAATCAATAGCAGCATGATTTTCTGGCTTGTTCTTTGTTTGTTTGTTATTTTTCCTCCATATCTAATGAATATCACTATTTTATAATTGAGTTTGAATTTTATATGTTATTAAGACACTTAAAAGATAATTACATTCTATTTAATTACATTGATCAGTAATCTAGAATAAACGGTAAGTAATATGCTTTAAATTGTTAAATTTACATTGATTGTGTAAAAAATTCATTATATTAGTGTAATATAACTTAAATCTTAAATTTTATGGCATCGCCATAGCCCATAAGAATATGCTCCATTCCTGAGAGGAAAAAAAAAACCCAATTGACAAAGTTGTAATATGAAACCTTGCTGTTGAGCTAGATAGAAACAAATCTTTCAGGTAAGCACAACGTAGACCAGGCACGTATTTTGTATGGTGTCGATTAATTGATTTATCCATTACAAACGTATGTAGACGAGTTACTGAATTAGGCCGAACTCGTATCTTCGATGCTAATTCTGCCCCTACTTGTTCCGTGGCAATTAAAGGTATTGAGATAATGATCCTGAGTTATCATATCTGGTGTACCAAATTCGTCGACATAACATTCAGTTCCTGGAAAGGAACAAGGTGCATCTATACCATATACCAGGACCTGTCTAGTTAAGTTGGGCCTCAACAAACTAGGCCAGTTAACTCGTAAAAATTGCACGAGCACTCTAATTTGTAGCTCCCATTTAATCTATATCCACTTTTTAAAAAAGTTTTAACTTGTACACACTGTTTAAACAACTTCAAGCCTCTTTCTCCTCCTCCTTCGTTTTCCGAATGCTGAAGATTGAGATATTGTTATGTGTTCTAACCTGACGATTCATATATATCTGTTTGTCCCATTGTGTGTGTGTGTGAGAGAGAGAGAGAACAACTTATATTTGCTATTTTAGCTCTTTACAACTAGGAATTAGCTTCTGGACTGTCCAGTTCGGAAATTCTAATTTAATTGCTACTGAAACATGAAAGCACGACTTGATTCCCTGTGCATTAGGTGGATATGTTACTTTTACTAATGGTCTTATTTTATAGGAGTATTGCTTTTCATATTTCCTGATAATTCCATTATTCTAAAGCTAAAATATACAATAAATATTCTTAGTTCAGCAAATATAAACAAAAACTTCAGCTCCTAGAATGCTGAAGTTCAGCAAATACAAAACAAACTTCAGCCCTGAAGTTCATCACAAACATAACAAAGCTTCAGCTAAAACATGCTGAAGTTCAGCAAATATAGAACAAAACTTCAGCTAAAACATGTTGAAGTTCAGCAAATACAAAACAAAACTCAGCTACTAGAATGCTTAAGTTCAACAATTACAAACAAAAACTTCAGTCAACACATGTTGTTGTTTTATTGAACTGAAGTTTGCCATTTGCACTATGAACTAAGTTTTGCAAGTCACGCCAAACTTCATGCAAAAATATCTGAAGTTTTGCTTCACTTCAGGCAAAAAATTTTGCTACTTGAGGCCTGTATGCCTGAAGTTATGCCAAAAGTGGGTACGCTTGTAATTTTTTTTGCAAAGCGGGTATACGTTAAAACGTGACCCAAAAAGCGGGTATAGATGCAAATTGCCACACCCCTTTTTTACCTCACTTAACCCTCTAAAAATAATAAAAGTGATTTTTGAAGCTCAAAAGGGTTTCAATTTTGAAGAGTGACAAAATTGTATTTATTTTTAAAAGCTTTTTCATAGTCGCCACCTGACATTGGGTTTCGATGTGCCAGGGCACCGTTTAAAAATAACTTTCTTTCAAAAAACATGTCTCGACTCTAAAACTGACTGCACCAGAGTTCTAGGTAAGGAGATTCATTTGACTCAGGCAGAAGATGTTAGGCATTCCCTGAATCCCATGAAAGTCACGGTTGCTTACTCGATCTAATTGGCTTTTAAAATATTCGAATTGTGGTAAAAAAAAAAAACACAAAAGAAAACAAACACAAAAAGGTTTGAGGTTGTCCCTACCTAAATAAAAGAAAAATAAAAATAAAATACTACACTATGCTTCATTCACAAGCTCGTCACGGCCTCCAGAATATTTACAAAGTACTTCGGGACATTCCACGGATAATATAATCGACTAAAGGGACAATATCTCGCTTCAACAAAACTAAAACATAAATGCCCTAAGCTTGCCTACTCAAGTGGTCGGCCTAAACATGCTCCTAGCGAATAGTAAAGCGATAGACAAATGCAATGAGAAATTTAAGATCCAAATTTTTGTTCCCTACTTTCCCAAAATTCCATCGTGTGAGACAAATGAAGACCAAATAAGACGAAATGTCCAGCAGCAAACATGCAAGACACGTTGAAGAAGAAAGGAAAATAATAAGATGAATATCAAATATGATGCTGCTAAGGGGCTCAAACAAGATTAACACCAAAGCGCATTTGAGCAGATGCCATTTAAACACTAAATCAATAGTTATCAAATACCAAAACTGCTCAAGATCCAAGATTAATCCAATATTGCTATCAAGACTAAATCAACCTTATCCAATCAAGTGCTTTGTCTAATCTGCTGAAACCGTAGGGCCATTTTAAAGGATTTTATCCCTATAAAAACGCATTTTTTCAATTAACAGAGTAATTCAAATGTGTTTTAAAATATTAACCTAATAACGAGCCTTATTAAATTCACATTACTCAACAATCATCAGACCTAAATCTTAACCAACAACAGCAACAATAGTATACACTCCACCTCTTTCACATAGAAAATCACATGGAAAACAAAAGATAGGACATATTTGAACTTTCATATACTTAAGCTCCACAATAAAGACTTGGTAAAAGAATTATAGATACTGAAAACTATAGCTTCAAACTCACAACCAGAACCAATACCACTTT